GTGACTTAAATTTTTTCATCCAGTAGCTTATCTTTATAGTTGCTATTTCTTTCTTATTAATGTATTGTATTTTGACAAAAGTAGCTATTTCAGATTAATTATGATAATAGTTAAATATGAGTTGAACAACATTAAATTACATATGAGTATCTACTTACCAAGAAAATGCAAGGTACATACTACCAGGAGTAGCAGCTGCTGCTTATTACTATAAAAAGGACTGACATCTTGCTTCAGTCAATGCATTTTAGTTGCACAGTCACTGAGGGAGTGCCTGTAATATATGGCGTAACGCAAGAGTTGAAATTTTCAAGATCAGTAGCTACTATTTTACTAAACTATGTTAAAGTTATTGTGAGCCATCGCTTTACTTGTGTTGTAGTGTAGAAAGTAGCTAATAGTACATGTACATGTAATTCAGTAACATACCCTAACTGCTGTATTGGTATAAGAGAACCTAAACAAAAACAAAACATCCTAAAACAAAAACAAAACAAAAACAAACTCTAAACAAAAACAAAACATCCTAAACAAACAAAAACATCTTAAACAAAAATAGAAAGTTTGAGTTGAATCCCAGCAAAATTGAATTTTTTACAAAGTTTTTAATTTGCTTCAAAATACGGCCAAAGATCATGGGCTATATATAATAGTACAGAGTATGTCATCAAAATGACTAGGTGAGATTTCTCTATTTTTCCTGATGTATAATGATTACCATCATTATTATGATGGTGCATACATGTATACTATGATCATTCTCAAGTTGGTGTTTTAATCATTGTAGTTCTATAGTGTAACTAATTTATTTGATGCATCAATAGAATGCAATCTCAATAATTATGTTACACATCACTTCTTTTACACATGCATCTGTATCCATATACACTGTATTCATATTTGGATAACTAACATAGATCTAGATACTATACTATCAAATAAAGGATCTTTAGTTTCAGGTTATTGCCACAATATGAACTTAATAGAACTTAATGAAATCAGTGTAGTTATTATAAACATAGTTAATAACTACTTATCAAACAATGGAAGGAGAGCAGAGTCGAGTCTATGAGGATCTGAACAGTGACACTATTGACAAGAATCATCATGTATATGAACTGTGTCAAGTGGCAGCTACTGAAAAAAGTAGAGCTAAAGAAATGAGACTCAAACTACCTGAGAAAATGAAGCTAACATGGAATAAGAGAGTCACCATTATCATCCTTCTATTACTGTCACTGATAGTAATACTACAGGTTATCATGCTATGCTTTTTACTGGCTCATACATCCACAACTGGTACAGCATGTGCTCCTGGAGCTACTTCTGGAGCTGCCAATGGTGGTGATCAGTAATAAGTGGATAAGGCCACTGGACTGGACCAATAGACTGGACTACTTTATATTGTAAAATATTATAATTACATGATTTATGATGACCTTACACACATTAACTACCACCCACACTCAACCTAAACATCAAGACCAAAAACAGTAGTAGATCTAGGCTAATAAATCTAAGTTCACGTGTAATAATACTGGTAGTACAGTATTGATACCATCTTTTGTTGGTAATAACTTTTGTAACTCCCATTATATTCTCTACACATCTGATCCACTCTGGGATGGTCAAGGTTGTGGTTCTCTTGAATCACCTTGTTGTAATGTTCCTGGTATCCCATGGTTTCACAGAGACTATGGTAACACAACCACTACTGACTATATTGAGTTGAGGGTCTGTGGAGATTTTCATGCTAATGCTGGAGGTGAAGACAGCCCTGTTAGTTATTATGAGGTTGAAATGGTCATTCAGTAGAAGCTAGATAGTAGTAGAAGTAGTCCAGTGCATAGTTATGAAGTCTATGAGTGTGAATCTTAATCTATTAATTGTTTTTGGCAAAAATAACTATTGTCTCTATATGGGGATTAGTTGTGATAATAGTTTACACAAGTGTTGAATGATATCAGCATAAAGCCCTCCTAGCAACATTTGTGGCTACTTTGATCATTTGAGCAACTAGTGGCAAAAATAGAACTGATTTCTATATTTAGCAACTTATTGCTTACAAGATCAGAGCAACCACCAATGTTGCCTATAGTGTGTGGAGGCCTTTAGCATGTAAGGTATGTGCTACTATCAGAGTAGCTGCTTATTACAAAGTTACTATAATTGGATTTGAACGCTTGTTTCAGTGAGTACATTATTTACTGATTCCCAATGTACACTTAAAGATTACTTTATTCTGCAACACATTTATTACCACCAAAAGTGCCTGTAACATATAATGCAACGGAAGAATTGAAACTTAAAAAACCAGTAGTTACTACTTTAATAAACTACGTTTAAGTCATTGTGACGGTCGCTTTACTTATGTTGTGTTGTAGAAAGTAGCATCCACTGGCAACTTTGTTGAAGTTGAAAGTCTCTCTACTTCATGCAACATGTTGCCCAACCACATCAAAGGTTTACCACAATAAGTTGGCAGGCAAAAATGCTGCATAGTGGATGCCCACCTTAATAGTACATGTACAATGTATATGAGCTGCAATATTGTATATATTGTGTACAATTATTGTGACCGTCGCATTACTTATGTATAGAAGTAGCTAATAGTACATGTACATGTAATTCAGTAACATTGTCACTATGAAGACAGTCCTGTTAGTTATTATGAGATTTATATTAAGTAGTGAAGTGTGTGTGGGTGTGCTTAAAATTTTCATTTCAATTTTAACAGTAATGAATGCAAATTGTGACAGTTACTGTAGTAGATCTAGTTTAATTGCTATTATTATACATTGAACAATGATTGATGCTATCAGATTTCATTATCATATCCAACCAAAAGAAATACCTTTTGGAAGTAAATAATTTAGCATGGTATCCTAAATGATTCAGAAACAAGCAATCTGATTGGTCAATTCAAACAGTGCATGGTAGAATAGACACACATTAAAAGTATTAATAAACTCAATACATTAGTAAAAGTTAATGACTAGTTATGACTCTACATGAACATTAGTATTTAATAGGGTACTAGTACCTGGTAATCATCATTTTCTTGTCAAGCAATGGAAGGAGAGCAGAGGCAAACTACTTATGAGAATCTAAACCGTGACTCTATCATTGAGGACAATATATATGAACTGGATCAAGTGGCAACTACTGAATTTATGAGAGTCAAACAACCTGAGAATATCAAGGAAAGGAAGGACAAGGAGGTAATGTGGAATAAAAAAATCATCCACACAGTATTACTGTCACTGATAGTAATACTACTGGTAGTCATCCTTTGCTTGTTACTGGCTCAAATGTTCACAAGTGGTACATGTACATGTACTACTGGAGCTACTACTGGAGCTACTAGTGGAGCTACTGCTGGTAACAATGAATATCCTAACTTCACTCAATGGGCTAATGATATAGTATCTAAAGTTAACAGCAATGTAACAGGGAGCCTTCCTGACTTCAATGAATGGGCTAATGGTGTATCACAAAATACCCTTCAACTATTACAAGACAATACCAACTTCACTGAACTTGATAAACAAATCTTACAAACTACAAGAGATTCTACACAAAAGCTCATTAATATTGTCAATACTCTCTCTAATCTACAAGACACCAGTACCTCTACTGCTGGAGTGGTTGATGATATACTACTAATAGCACAAGAACTATTAGTACTACACAATGTATCATTTACCTCTTGTAAGGAGTTGAAAAGGCGATACCCAAGCAGTCCATCAGGTTATTATGTATTAGCAACAGCTAGTGGATTAACTACCTATACTGCTTACTGTAATATGGGAAAATTGTGTGGTTCAGGAGGAGGATGGACAAGACTAGCATATCTGGATATGTCTGATGCTACACAGAACTGTCCTTCTGGGTTTAGACTGTACCAGTCAGGAGGAGGAGTTAGAGCTTGTGGTAGGACTAACAGTGGTGCTGGCTGTGTATCAGTTCAGTTCCCATCTAATGGTATCAGTTATTCTCAGGTGTGTGGCAGAGTAACAGGATATCAATATGGCTCAACTGATGCTGTTAGTGAATCTGTTAATAATATCAATTCTTATTATGTTGATGGTGTTAGTATCACTCGTGGGTCTCCTCGTCAACATGTCTGGTCACTGTATGCTGGTGTCTCTTCAGGAACTAGTAATAATATTAACATTTGTCCTTGTGCTGGTGGTACTAGTCCACAGTCTTTTGTTGGTAATAATTACTTTTGTGAGTCTGGCAATAATGCTTCTACTTGGCCTCAAATCTTTTATATATCTGATCCACTCTGGGATGGTGAAAAATGCAGTGGCCTGGAATCCTCTTGTTGTAATGTTCCTGGTATCCCATGGTTTCACAGAGACTATGGTAGCACTACCACTACTGACTATATTGAGTTGAGGGTCTGTGGAGACGAAGGAATTGTTCATAATGAAGACAGTCCTGTTAGTTATTATGAGATTTATGTTAAGCAGTGAAGTGTGTGTGTTCATTCAGTAGAAGCTAGTATAGAAGCATATAGTCCAGTACATAGTGTAGTTGTGACATTTATGTGAAGTAGTGAAGTAGATTTGTGTGTGTGTGAATTAATTTTTTTATCCAGTAGTTTATAGTTGCTATTTCTTTCTTATTAATGTATTGTATTTTGATAAAAGTAGCTTTTGCAGATTAATTGTGATAATAGTTAAACATGAGTTGAACAACATCAAATCACATGCATGAGTATCTACTTACCAAGAAAATGCAAGGCACAAACTACCAGGAGTAGCAGCTGCTGCTTATTACTATAAAAGGAACTGACATCTTGCTTCAGTAAGTGCATTTTAACTGCACAGACACAGGGAGTGCCTGTACCATATGGCGTAATGCAAGAGTTGAACATGAAATTTTCCAAATCAGTAGCTACTATTTTACTAAACTATGTTACAGTTAATTACTGTGACCGCCGCTTTATTTATGCTATGTAGGAAGTAGCTAATAGTACATGTACATGTAATTCAGTAACATACCCTAACTGCAGTGCTGGTGTAAGAGAGAAACGTCCTTAACAAACCAAACAACCTCCAACTAGAAATTAATGAAAAGGTATTCTAATCTTAACATTCTTTCTTCTATACATTGTACATCTTTTTCCTCCTCTCTCTCCCCCTCTCTCTCTCCCTCCCTCCTTTCTCTCTCCCCCTCCCTCCCTCCTCCATCTCTCTCTACCTGTTCTTATTAATCTCAGCATCATGTACCACTCCCCACTTCACTGAGCTAACAGCATACAGGGTCTTCCCTTTCTCTGGCTATTAGGATAAAAACAAAAGACGACAAATTATCTAAAATTAGCTCTGAAAGGGCCCAATATTTTTAAAATGGAGAATTCTCTCTTAGCCATTTTGGCCAAAGTCCCTGTAGTACAGTGTGTTTTTGGCCTGATTTTTGAGCAAATTTTAAAAATCCAAACTGAATCAAAATCAGCTCAAAAGTTATAAAACTTGAGGATTCTCTTCTTGTGATTTTTTAAAAATACCCAATACAGGGTGTTTGGCCAAGTTTTTAATAATTTGGTAATCCACTCACAAGAAGCTGCATGGGCACTATGCCAATATCCTGTGGGAAAGGTTGTATGCATTCTAATGTATTGTGCAAATGGTCTACCTGTACATGTATAATCAAACCTGCAATTTGATGATGTTGACTGGTTTTGTGTTACCACGAATGATATTCATTGTCGCCTCACCAATTGACCTTTAATGAAAATAATATTATTGTTGTTTTTATCATTATTGTTATTACTATACATTATAACAAAAGCAGTGTTGCTATTGTTGTTATTATCAAAAAATGATAATGTACATACAAAACTGTCTGAATCCCTTTAGTACACGCAATTGTAGACACCCTTCATATTTACATGTACATGTACACTGGTGCCTCTATATAAAGGAGACTTTGGGGCAAGGAAGTGTCTCTGTTATACAGAGGTGTCCTTTATGTGGAGGTTATTTTATATAGTAAGGAATGTAATTGGTACACTAGGTGCTGTCTGTTAAATGGAGGTGTACGCTATAGAGAGTGTCCATTAAGAGAGACTATACTGTACATGTACATGTACATGTACACTACCCACTACCTTGCTGGTAGTTCATTCTTCCCTTTCCTTTCCCTCAGTTGTGAGTAATAAAATGAGTTGTCTTTACCAAGAGGTAGGACACCAACAGGAACACTCTACATTGAAAGAACCATCAACCAGTGACTGAGTATGAAGACTAATTACAATAGTTTACATGTGCATTTACTAGGGTATTTCAAGGTATAAGGTTTAAGGTATTTCAGTTGATTCAAGCAGTTACTGAGTAAGGACCAATTGACACTGCAATGGGATATCACTTGGTACAACCAATAAACAAAAAATAAAATTAAAAAAAATTATATCAATTTACAGACATGGGGTCAAGCACTAGGAAATGTACTTAAACACAAACACAAGCACTTAAATGTGTTAGAAGTACCAGCACAAGCACAATCTCTAGCTTTAACATTAGTGCTTAAGTTCAAGAACAAGCATACTCCAGAATGCTTAAGTACATTAATAAGTACTAGATATTCACTAAGTATAAAAATAAAGTAAATTACAATAGTTGTTCACTTTACATGCACTTAGTCATTTAATTTACTATTGCATCTAATAAGCACTAACTCTCTGAATTGTTCATAATAAATGAAAACAGAAGAGAGCTTTGGAGTGATACCACTAATGGTGATGCCATTACTGTTCTTCAAGCTAGCACACAATCACACAATGTACTACTAAACTTGTATACTACTGTACCACTACATGTACATGTACAT